CAGGGGAAATTACCCGTGAGTTAATCCTCACTCATCGGTCTCAGATCTTAATGGAATGGCCTCTAATGTGTATAATAATTATGAGACGTTAAATCGTCTTGTGAATGGTAATATAATCAGTGATAATAACATTAAGTTAAGAGAATGCGGGAAGTGAAATAAATCGCCCTGCTTCGAGTGAACGCGTGGTTCTCGTCCCGAGGATAGTGAAGTTTTATGGAATCACGACTTCTAAACCGGGACAAACCAACGGATACCTCGTCCTGCTGGAATAAGAACCATGTCAGTGTAGCAGGGCATCGAAATGAGATGGTGAATGGAGGAAATAAGGAGCATCAATCACCCACAGTTAAGTAACCTTTCTAGTTATAGCAGACTGATACTGGCCAGTTAGGTATGTTTTAATTGGATAGGTTATGGGTGATCCAGCCACATCAAGTGACCAGAGAATATCTGGTAAGTGGTGGGATTATGTACAAATGTTTTTCCTTGATGGATGTATCCATGTGTAACCTACCCCCCTCCCTTATTCAATTAAACTAATATAATCTGTACAGTCCACAATTAATTAGTAGCGCCGTACTTGAGGGTGCTATCCAATTTATACTGGTTTCGGATAGATATGGATAAGATTGTGAGGGTCGAGGGGCCACCTGCAGTGACCAGAGGTGGTTAAGTTTTCTCACATGTCTACACGGGTGACTACGGTAAACAATATAGTTGTTGTCTCCCAATGAGATTACTCGTATGCATGTAATGTTGAGGTATGTACAAGTAATCACCCCTATAAAATTTTCCATACTGTATAACCCTTGTGGTTTAGCGCTTCTTTTTGATAATACTCAGAGCAAATAATATTAGATCCTTAAACACTACGATGACCTCCTAGCATAACTCGATTCCCTAAATGCCAGTATGTCTATCATCACTCACTGAAACGTGGCTAAATCCTGGTGGTACAGATATCGATGCCATCACTGGCTACACAACCATACACAACTGTAGGCTAGACCAACAAGGAGGCAGAACAGCTATATATTACTCTGAACTTGAATGTATAAATAATACTTGCATAAAGGATGAACATGGAGAATATGTTATAGGTAAATTTAAATCCAAAGACCTTACAAAACCCCTAACAGTTTTAACTACCTACAGAGTACCTCAGTCCAATATTTACTTATTTATTGAAAAATTAAGAAGCATGATAACTGATGCACATGAACGAACACCATCTGATTATCACAGGCGACTTCAACATAAACCTCCTACATGACCCACAAGTAATTGAATTCACAAACACTATGAGCAGATGCTTGCTTCTACCAACAGTAACACCACTGACCACTATCCTACCTTTCTCAAAACCAACCTAGGTAAATTGCCACAACATAAAACTAAAATCACCTTCTGACTACATAATGAGTCGTCTATTAATAACTTTAATGACTAACATCGACTGGCAAAACAGTCAAACAACCCAGATATTGATGAATATGTTAATAATTTAAAAAAAAAAAAGATCCAATACTTCTATAACTTGCATTGTCCTAAAACAAACTAAGCAGATCACAGTTAAGAGACTTAACAGCCCATGGCTTACAAACAGCATCCTCAAATCCATAAATAAAAAACACCTATATGAAAAGTGGTGCAGAATGGGGCTAATACAGAGGGACCAGACTAAAAGTTACTCGTCAATACTAACCAGCCTGATAAGGTGGTCAAAAAAAACTGCACTATGAAAACAGATTACATAGTGTAAAAGGTGATAAGAAAAAGACCTGGAAAACCTTATCTGAAATTCTAAGAACAAAAACGATATCCAAAAACAGAATAATCGACCTAACGAAACCAGACGAACTTCTCCTTCAACCAACTGACACTGCCAACAAACTTAATGTCTTCTCGACAGTAGGAAAAATCTACGTAGCAGAATCCCATGCTCCAACACTCAACCAACAGACTACCTCACTGACAACTACCCAAACACACTATTTTTATCACCAACTAACCCAACTGAATCTCCCTCATCATCAAAACACTTAACTTTGTCGGGCAATGTCTGATATATTGGAATTTCACACTTAACTCCTTTAGAGTGGATAGAGTATCTCAATATAAGTTGAATGAGGCCATATAAATGGAATCTGAGGCTTAGTTTTCAAGCAATTGCTAATCTGTGAAAGGCAGATATACTCGCCCATGCCCGAAATAGGGAGTATATATTTGAATGTTGCAAACTTGCAATTGTTAATAAAACATCCAATAACTATTTTTAAAATTTATTATACAAACATACAATATCAAAAACATCAATGGAACTTGTATCAGAACATTTTGTAAGTATAAGAAAAATATAAAAATGAAACAATAGCAACAAGGACACATTGCAAAGGGATAAAACTTTCAAGTCCCATATTCCTGAGATTCATGAGGAAGAGCAATCATTCTATATTACTATAGTCTATGAAGCAATTTCTATCCTTCTTTATGCATAGATTTACTTTGCATACAGAACCTTGAAGAGCAAGATCTTCATAAATATCTTTCTCATCAGGGTACTCCTCGATCGTAATGCCTTTCATTTTCTTGACTAATTTCTGCTTTTTGACTGGCCTTTCTTCCTCCTCATCACTTGAAACCTCAGCATCCGGTGGCAAGTATTCATCACGACTATCAAGCAATTCTGGTTCATCTACCTCTGGTTCTGAGTCACTGTCATCCAAAATGCAGACATATTTTGACCTGGTGTTGGAGGGCTTCCCATAAAATAATTTCTCATTGATCTGGAAGGACAATAAAAATGCTCTGTATACATCCAGACCACTACAGAATTCATATATGCAGTAGAAATTTTTTTATAAATATTTATTTTACTGAAAGTGGACTATGCCCCTACAAGGGCAGAGGCAGTCCTGACTGCCCTTCTTTTGTTGCACTTTTTTCAACTGCATACTACACTTACATTATGCTTCACACGGACTTTAAGTATATATCAAAATATGCCTAAACTATTCATGTACACACTAAACACAACAATCAGTACTTACCGACATTGTAGAGGGTAAAATCCAAGAGTATATTAGTGACACTAGACGGAAAAAACCCACTCTGGGCGACGCGAAGCCGTAAGTGTTTACATTTTGTTCTCTCAACCAATGGAAAGCCGGCAAACACCATCACCACTTAGCTGAAGTGACTCAGGGAAGGCTTGTGATTGGTCAGAATTAAAGAACGGGAATCCAGATGCGCGGTGCGAGTAGGATGACACGCGTAAAGGTGCATGTGTTTAAAGGTAGTCAAACCTGCCTCTACCCGACAAAGGGTATTAAGAACAAGGGAGACCTAAACTACTTACAACCTTTTATTTATAAAAAACTTCTCGTGTACTGTCACCAATTATTGCAGCTCTTTAACAAATCCATTGAATCCTCCACCTTTCCATCAATTCTCAAAATAGCCAGGGTCATCCCGATCTACAAAGGAGGTGATCCAACACCTGAACAACTACATGCCTATAAAACTGCAACATTAACGCCCTCCTTCAGAATGCCGGCACTGTACTTCCCATATCCAGGTATCAAGTCCGGCCTCCCGGTTTCCCCGAATCCCTTCACAAATGTTACCTCGCTTACACTCCAACAGTACGTCAAGTCCTAAAAACCATGTCTCCATTTGCTCCTATCTATCTAATATGTATGTGTGATATATATATATATTAATATAAAATATATATAATATATATATATATATATATATATATACATAAATTTTTTTATTAATACATCAGCCGTTTGCCACCAAGGCAGGGTGGCCCGAAAAAGAAACTCATCATTCACTCCATCACTGTCTTGCGAGAGGCGCGCTTTCATTACAGTTATAAAACTACAACATTAACATCCCTCCTTCAGAATGTAGGCCAGTGCCTGCATTATTCACCGTAGAGTTTTATATCACAGATGTGAATTAACGTCCCAAAATTAGTTAGAAACACGCATTATAAACTAGAACTGAAAACTTTGTTGGTCTGTGTAATCAGTAATTGGTACTCATAATATAGCATATTCAGTTATTTCATCATAATTTCACCCAATAAAGACTCAGACTTGGCTGTGTAAATGCATACAGGAATTAATTCTTCATTATGCATGAACTAGCAAGCAGTTTTAAGTGTTTTGTAATGTATAAGCTGGTAATTTTATATATAAATGAAGTTTGAAGTAAATTCCTTATGCATTATTATAATTTTTCTCTTTCCATTCTTTTTCTATCATCAAATTGACGAAAAGCCACAAAAAAGTACAGTAGGGCCCCACTTATATGGCAGGTTATGTTCCAGGCTACTGCCGTAAAGCAGAAATCGCCATAAAGTGGAACCCATTTTTTTTTCCACTTAAAAATGGATATAAATGCTAGATAACACGATTAAACTAACATACATTAAGTTAACAATATAACTAGGTACTAAAAACACAATAAAAATCAAAATACACACACACACACTTGTTACTTACCTTAAAATATATGAATGCGTGAGAGGTGACTGGAAGTGTAAAAGTTTTTCCATGTCAGCAATAAAGTCACTGTCTGACTTTTTTGGGTTATCCCAGGTTCTCTACAAATTCAACTATATGTAATTGTATTTGTGTATACCTGAATAAACTTACTAGTGGCCACTGGTGTAGCACTTTTAATTTCCTGCAACTCTTTCTCCTTATTGTTCACAGCTGTACTAACTGTTTAACGAGCCAAACTAAGCTTACGTGCAATATCGGCATGAACATACCTTGTAAGTTCATTCAGGTATACACAAATACAGTTAATTAGATTATCATACATGGCAGCATATATGTAGAGAGCCTAGTATAACCCAAAAAAAAGTCAGCTCACTAGGTTTAATAATTTCTAGCTTCGAACTTAAAGTGAGAGGCTTACCTAAGTTTTATATTAGGCAATACCACATTCCAGCTATTAATAATAAAACTATATTTTATCAGGACTGGCAGTGGCGGAAGGGAGTAGTAGCTGTAGTTACATCATGGTTGTATGTCTTCCAGATGACAAGTGTCTTCCTGATGACAAGAATTTTACGCCGTTGTAGCTCTTTCTTCTTCCTTGTCATCCACATCCTTCGTACTCTTGTCAAGATTACTGTTCCTCTACTAGTCATAGGAGCACTGATATACATTATCCATATAATAGCAATCAAAGGAATAATTCCTTATAATTATGTCTGGAATACTGAAATTCCAGTAATTTCTTCTCAGTGGGTTGCTGCTGCAACATATATTGGAGTAACTATTGTTGTTTGTTTTGCAATGTTAGATAAGAACTTAAAAAAGAAAAGAAAAAAGTACAAGGGCAGTCAGACTACCGTTATTGTAAAAATTACACTAAATTTTGACTTTTTGTATCCATGTTTGAGGAAGAAGTTTTATGTATTTTGCATAACCAAACAAGCAAAGAAAAACTTACGTTTGCCACGTAAGAGAAACAAGGATGAGAAAGAAATAAGTAAAACGGGAAGTGACAGTAATGAAGTTCTAAATAATATTAAAGAAAAAATTGAAAACCTTCAACAAGTTATCGAAAGACGGAATTTACAAGATGAAAATGATAACATTAAAGGGAAAATTGAAGACCTTCAACGGAACTTACAAGATGACATTAAATGGAAAATTAAAAACCTTCAGGAAGATATAAAAGAACTGAAAATAATGTTAAAAAAATAAAAAAATATTAACGACAAATTAAATGAGTACAGTGAAATTCCCTCTATATAAACTTTCTCAATATCCTGGAATTCCTGGAACTGTGTTGCAGCAACTAATTAACTTGAAGTTTTAATTCTGGATGTTTATTAAAGATAATGTTAGTTTACCAAACAATATACACAATAATGTAATGTGATTTGTATATTATATATTAACCTTACATAGTGAAAAATTATGAGCAGGTAAAACACATTGACTGATGTACTGAAAACAATTGTTGGACGCTAAGATATGAATATTATTATTTTTATAATAGGCCACAACAACGAGTAGAGAAAAAGAAAATAACAGCTATTATCCAGTATCTCATGTGGGAATACAGTGCTTGAGACTTAACTCTAAATACCATTCCTGAGAGGATTTACCCAGCGAACCAAGTCTCTCATATGAGTCCGCGGCCTTCGACATACGCGGAGCTCCTGTAGTTAATTCGACAACCTGAGACTTTATTAGTTATTAGAAATAAGCATTAGAACTTGTTATAATTTTTAGAATAAAGGTATATCTTAAAGGAAAATACTGATCACTTGGTTATCCATTAAAGTCATTAGTATGTCTGATCAGTTAGCTATTCATTTATGCCATTAGTTGAATCTAGTAATTAGCTCCAGCTAGGGACACCATGAGATACATGTATGAGTCATTGAGTTGCAACCGATCTTTGTGCAGGAGAGAAGTTGTGCAGTTCCGTAATATGACAGCTAAGAGTAGTCTCATTCACTTTGTAATGTAATTATAGAATGGTAGTGTCTTAACTGCACTACCTTATAATGAGGGTAAGTCTCCCTCATTAACTAAGATAGGATACCTGTCAAATAGAGTATCCTCTGTCCTTTACCAAGGCTTCAGAAGTGATTCTAAAGAAATGTCTTTAGGTACACCACAGGGAGGAGTTCTTAGTCCCATGCTATTTAATATTCTGATTAATGCTCCCCTAAATGCTCTACCTGCCTCACCTAAACATATAGCTATAAGCTATGCTGATGATATCATGATCCATACAACAGGGCATAAGAAGATGAATACCATTCTTAATGAAGTTCAAGCAATTTGTAATCGACTAGGCCTCATAATATCTTCCTCTAAAACAAAGATATTAACAAGCAAACGACATCCCCCACCCATCTATTTGCAGGGTGAAATCATTAGCTACGTTAAAACTTACAGATATCTTGGTGTAGATGTACCCTTTAACAAATCCACTATACCACAACTAAACAAGAAATGCAAAGCTAGGCTAAATGCTCTCAAAGCTGTTGCTGGCTACAACCCCAACTATGGTGCTAATGTGAGAATCGTAAGAATGATGTACATAGCCTATGTTAGGTCCTTAATTGATTATGCTGCTCCCATGTTGATATTGGCTAGAGAAAGTTCTCTCCGACCCTTGGAGTTAATGCAAAATGAAGCTCTCAGGATTATTCTTGGCTCTCCCAGATCTACAAAAGTTCTTAACATGAGGAAGGAGCTTGGTATTTCTAGTATCAGTGATAGGATTATTGAGATTAACACTGTACTCGGTATTAGAATGTTGAGAAACGAACCAGACACTGTCACAATGAGCCTTACCAAGTGTCTAGAGGTAAATACACACAGATCTAAATGGATTGTGAAAACGTGCAATTACATCAAGTTTTATAACCTCCATGAACTGCATCACTGTAGGCAACAAGAGCATTTCACCCCCCCCCCCCATGGAAGATATGCTCATTTAATATCACATACCTACAAGTCCCTCCCAAGAAGCTCATTGCTAGTAATCCCTTCCTTAAATCTCTTGTTAGAGCAACTGCTCAAGAAGAAATTTCTCACCTAGCTGGTAGTAATAAGTTATCACAAGTTATATACACTGATGGATCTAAACAGGAGTCTTCTGGCAGGGCTGCATCTGCTCTTGTTGCCACCTCCCTTGTTAAAAACGATAATAAATTTGTCGAGTTAGGCATAAGAATTAACAACTGGGCGTCTACACTGCAAACTGAATTGTTTGCAATCCTAATGGCGCTAAAGCTAACCTATGACACTGAGCTTGACTCTATCATCATTACTGATTCTATGTCATCATTGAAGGCTCTTGACTCATACAATAACTCCAACAACATGCTCATTGGAGAAGCCAGGTATAGATACTCAAAAATTAGGGACAAAGGAATTAATGTACAATTGCTATGGATCCCATCACAAATTGGATTACTCCTTCATGATAAAGTTGATATGTTAGCCAAGAAGAGTACCCAGAAGGAGAATGTAGAATATAACTTTGGTATAACTGTGTCTAGCATTAGGAATAATATTAGGAGAGAAGTAAATAATGAAAATGATTGTTATAGGAATGCAGTTAGAAGCCTGAGTAGATCTATAACCCACTATGATAACATGAACGTAGATAAGTATGTTTATGGAGCAACTTGCAATGTGAACAGACTGACTGATGTTGTAGTGGCCAGGCTTAGGCTTGGTTACAAGTACTTCTGGCAGTTTGGGAGACACACAGATGATGATCAAACTAAATGTAAATTATGTGATCAGGCATATGGTCACTGTCTTGAACACTATGTGCTTAATTGTCCACTTATTGAAGAATACAGAGACAGACAGTATAATAACCTATGTGACATGTCAAGATATCTTATTAATGAAAATAAGATACCAGATATACTAAGCAAATTTCCTAAATTTGCTTGTAACAGATAAGTGAACTATAGATATGTAGATATAAATCCATATGTATTCCTGTTAACCCTTTGGGGCCTAGTTCCTGGGCCTTTTGTGTATCCATATGCTCTTGCGCTACCGTCCACAGGATGGATATGGGGTGCACAATAAACTAGCCACTTCGGTGGCAAAATCTAAATCTAGGTAATGTGTCCTGCCTGCTGGCACAGTGAGTAGCTCTGTCGTCAGTTTTTGTAGGCTGGGAAATGTAATCGTAGATACTAAACTAAATTACTCTGTATCTAACTGTAACTTAGCTTAAGTACTAGCCTATAGCGGCTTTATCACTAAATTAGGCTTATAATTTAAGAATAGGTAAAAAAATATGGCAATATGGGGGTGTAGGCTCATGAGCTAGGTACTGCCTAGCAGCGCTGTATAGCCCTTGTGGCTTAGCGCTTCTTTTTTTTTTATTATAATAATAATAGGTACTGCCTATTCCCAGCTTTCGTGCTGCCTCAACCCCCCCTCCCAAGACTTAGGAGGACTAACGGATACGGGAATCAGCTAACTTCTTTGAATTCCCACAGTAATGATGAATATTTTGAACAAATTCAACACACAATACACTGTAATGTGACTTATACACTACATAACTCACGGGGTATCTAACAGGAATCTGTCATACCAGCAACGATTTGATGAGCTCATTTAATGCGTGTGAGTGGAGGTAGGCTCTTTCCAGGCGCACAAGGAAATAAGTTGATAACTGAGGCAGCAGGTACATAGTCGATCTTGTTCGTCTTGAGACATGAAATGATCACTCAGCTTCATCTCTTCCAAGTATGTATTAGTAGATATGAATCTGAACCATTATTATAGATACATACTACTATATTATGGCAAAACCTACTATATTATGTTTGGTAGCAGAGCAGGTGTTGCGCAACTTAACATTAAGATAACATTAAGATTAACATTAAGATCGACAACACTCTAATTGCCAGACATAATGAGGGCAAATTCCTTGGCCTATACTTAGACAACAACCTAAATTTCAGCACCCATATCCAACACATAATAAAAAAAGTATCCAAAACGGTGGGGATCCTCTCCAAGATACGATACTACGTACCGCAAACTGCCCTTCTCACACTATACCATTCACTTATATATCCATACCTCACCTATGCTACCTGTGTTTGGGGTTCAACTGCAGCAACACACCTAAAGCCAATAATAACCCAACAAAAAGCTGCAGTAAGAATAATCACTAAATCCCATCCCTGGCAACACACCCCCCCACTCTTAATAGATCTAAACTTACTCCCTGTTCAGAATATCCACACTTACTACTGTGCAATCTATATCTACAGGACCTTAAATTCCAATATTAACCTTGACCTAAAACGCTTTCTTGATAGCTGTGACAGGATCCACAGGCATAACACCAGACATAAACATCTCTGTGACATTCCCTGAGTTCGACTAAACCCTTACAAAAATTCAATGTATTTCAAAGGACCTAAAATCTGGAACACCCTACCTGAAAACTCTAGAACTGCAGACACAGTCATCACTTTCAAAACTACAGTTAGAAAACATCTTATCTCCCTGATCCACCCCGACAACTAACTACATGATAACCACCTGGTGGTTCACAATTACACTCACTCACCCACTGACTATAAACCCAGAAATACTAATCTTAATCTTAAAATAATAAATCCTAACTAGTCATAGGTTTGCCTATGTTACTCAAATATAGACACCTTGTATTGTGCCAAAACAAAAGCATTCACATTGCTAAACTCACAAATTATGATGTAGTCCTAGTGGCCCCCTCTGTAATTAGTATTTTATAACATGTAAACCACAAAATACCCAAAACCTGTAAACCCCACATTGTAACCCTTATAGAGAATAAACTTGAATTGAATTTAAGGAGGTTCCGAAACACTTCTTTATAAATAGTCTACTTACAAGACAGTCTACTTATTAGATAGTGTACTACTAGATAGTGAACACAGTAATTTACTTACTAGATAATCTACTGTAGTTTAACTGATTCATGTGAGTGAAGGCACCCACATGAGTCTTCCTTCACAAAGTCTTCCTTTACATAGCGTCTTCAAACACAAGTTACTTAACAAAACATTAAAGTTTGATTGAATAAAGCTATACAGCTAAATCAGGCACGAACACTTTAACACACAAAAAAAGTAATCATTTTACTATCAATAAATAAGTCTGAGACCTAGAAATTTATTTACTAGAAATCAACTAGTATTGTCGCCATTGGTTGATAC